GGGATTAACGAATGCGGAAGCGAGGCAAAAGGTATTTCTTGATCAAATCTTGACGGTTCTTATCAATTGGTCAAAATATGTTCTGTGAATGAATTCACCCGCACTCTCTTTTACGTTTGATTTGATTACGATCAAATTGCTTCTGTGCATTGTTAAAACAGAAATAACGTCACTGTAGCATTTAATCTCAATTAAGATATTATCAAATCAAATGCCGATGGATCCACCGCCAGGCAGTCCACCAAGAGTTATGGCAGTTATGATTCTTTGTTTTATACAGGTCTGTTGCACCTTATTCAAGGCTTGCACGAAAGCAAATCCTCCCGTTAGTGAGACCCCCTCCAAACTCGATCTTCGTATCGTTCTCGCTATTCTTCTGTTAACTCATGTTTGCAAACCGCAATAAATTATTTGAAATGTCATAAGATTGCATTTAGAAAAAAAAAACATGATGCTAACTAAATGTAGCAAACGTCAAAACAGAATTATTAAATTTACCAGCTTTTGTCTTTCAGTATTAAAGTAACTGTAAGAAAAGGGATGAAAATGAACTTATCCTTTGAGCAACGAAATGAGTGACTTAATGCTGACTGACGGCTTTATCTATTTAGATAATAGGCTTATCTGTGAAACATTGCGATGAGAATTGCAATAAACGCAATAAAATCTCGTTTGAAGAACGGTTTTGAGAAAAAAGGTACTTTATGTTTAGGAATGAATTGGAAAGCAGATTAAATTCAGTTACCTGTGCTAATTAAACCTGCTAAGTTTAGCTTTATCCGCTCCAGTCAACCTCAGACTGGGTCTTAAGCCTACTTTTATGGTTAGGATTATAGAAGCTCATTGAGCTAAGGAAAAATAAAAGCTAGGGTTTCCGAGAGCATCTTGCCTTACTCCAAGAAGTCCTATTTTCGGACTTCCACACGTTCCTGCCTCCCAAACACGTAATAGTATCACCCGCTCGATTCCCTTTTCGTTTCCGAGCCGAACACGTATTTGTCTTCCAATACGCATTCGTTTACTCTATCCACTTCTCCTCATTCATCTACAAAAATGTTTCATTCTCTTTCATATCGGTTACGTCCTTCCGGCACAACTGAAAATGAAATTTGTGGATTAATTTAGCCCTACCTGCAAAAAATTGAAAAAATAATGATTTCAAAGTATATCTACTCAATGATCTCATGCGATTTCATGACAGTCAGTCTGACAAGATTTATGCATTTAACTAATTACCTGCATTCTCATTTTCAGGATGCCGCTGACAGGCCTGAATTCTCAGATGTGTTGAGAATCCTTTCACCACGAGAGAATATTGCCACACCGGCAGCATGAGCAAACTCGAAGATTCAATATTTTGCGATAAATGAACATTTACATACGAATATCAATTCGTGTGCAACAGTTTTTTACGTGTCGTATCATAATAACGTTATAGAGAATAATCACTTAATTTTCAGCAAAAATAAACCATGTTACAAAAGTGGTCTTATTCGAAGTTAACCGCAGTATTCCAGCATCATTGTTGGCAATGCAATATACAACTTATACCTGGGATTAATTCTATTAAGTTCTCAGCAGAACTGACCGCTGGCGTAGTTGAAAAGATACTCTAACAAGTTCAAATATCTTTATGTCCAAGCACTTTCTCCGTTCATTAAGAAATTGACCTATGAGATAGATACCAAGTGTCATCCCACATCAGCAAGAGCATGAGGGTTTCGATACTTCGAGAATATCTTATGACTCAACTGTCAGCATGATTACGGTCTTCTCAACACGGCATTTCTTCTTCTGAAACGATCGCGTTGTTTACACCATCTGAGTTGTACCAGTACGGAATTGGCAGTGACTGGAACATGCGAGTTGCTTATGAACGGATGTGTGAAAGATGAAAGAAGCGAGATGTTTGATGCGTAATGTTTAATAGACATCATGAATACTGGAAATAATTGATTGAAGCGATATGCATCAACACACGTAGGTTATGAAGCGATTAGTATATTGTAATGATAATGATTATGATTATGATCACATTCAGTGTTATTATTGTCTGATGAATTATCGTTATTATATCATTCGAGAATGCAATTTGATGTGATGAAGTAATTTGATGCTGTAATGCATTATTTGCTTCGTAAATGCTCATAAATTATCTGAAAGCTGAGGCATTGCAAGAATATGAAGTTACATCATTAAGGGTTCATAAAGAGCGGAATCACGAAGCTCTCGTACGGAATTGGCTGTTTAAACATCATTGGTATTTGTGCAAATTGTGCTCCTGGTGGTGCCTGAAATGATCATTAGTTTACGTGGGAAAGGTGATTTGTGATGAGTTTGAATCTCAACGGAAATG